AGAACAGCCTATGAGGCTGCTGAGCCCAGTTCTGTGCTCGGAAACTTCTTGCAGCGGCAGAACTGCGAAGAAGGGGGCGAAGGAGGTGCCAGAGCTCGAAGTTGAAGAGGAGCCTCTTGCATTCCACGCTTAGTGCACTAAGGCCACCTCAGAAGTGACCTCTATCCTCTTTCCTCTCCTTAGGAGACCGAATTTGGATGGCCACCACAGGCCGGGCCCTGGCGCGGTCAGGGTGCCTCGAACAAGTTGGGCGAAGCAGGGGTTTAGCTCATGACAGCCATGGGGGCAATGTCGAGCTCAGCACCTGTCCCCACAGGCGACCTGTTGCAAGCCTGAGCTCAATGCAGGTCAGCGGGTGGGCCAGGCAGCCGCGCTCGCAAGCTCTGCTGCCAGCTGGCCAAGGCAGCCGCTGGCTGGGCAGGCAGGATGTGTTGCAGCCCTGTCCTCCTTTCCCTTGTCAGCAGCGCAATGCAGGGCGGCGCTGGAGCTGCCGCGCCGCGGATGGGCCGGACAAGCTGTGCCGCGACCAGGTGAACGTGCCGACGGCCGTGGCGCCGGAGGAGAGCGTGGCGGAGCGGGTGCAGGTGACGCTGCTGGGGGCCAAGGGCAGCGCGCAGGTGATTGAGGTGCCGCTGGACTGCTACATCCTGGACAGCGCCATCGACAACAACATCGATTTGCCCTGGTCCTGCAGGGGGGGCATCTGCGGGTGAGCCTTCACACACCCCGCAGCTGATAAATTCAGAGCGGCCAAGCGGGCAGAAACTGCAGGCAAGAGGGTGCGAAGCAGATGCACCGCCCCGCCTCTCAGTAAGCCTAGGGCTCATGCATCAAATTGGCTTGACATAAAAGAGAACGTTTTTGTGTCAGCAGCCTGGACTGCGGGCTGGCCTGCTGCATTCCCCTCATTCTCCACCATCTTCGTTGTCAAATGAAGGGTAGACATGTGCTGGAAGTCGCTGGGCAGACTGCAGCTCTGCTCTCAAGCATCCAGCACACTGTAGCCAGTGCCCCAGAGCTCCCATACTGGCGGGCACAGTGAGTGACTCGTGCGGTGTGTGGATGCGATGCAGGACATGCGTGGGCAAGGTGGTGAAGGGCAGTGTGGACCAGAGTGATGTGAGGCCACCCCCACATACTCCTTAACCTGGCAGTTGCGCCCGCTCTAGTTTCTCAAACAAGGTTCATGCAGAGAAAGATTATGTGTACCCATCTGTGAAGATTGCTTGGCAGCACAAACCACCGAGATTCCATCACTGAAGTCCGGGTGCTAAACCTACTTTTTGCCTCTCCACACAGATTTCGGACTTAGAGTTCGTCCTAGATGAGGAGTACATCCAAGCTGGGATGGCGCTCTTGTGTATGGCGCGACCAAAAGAAGATTGTACCATAGAAACTCAAAGTGACTGGGGCTATTTGATGGGTTTTCAAGGTAGGTGGCCACGTCCGTCATGCTCCCCTGTCTTTGTGCTGGATACAAGAGCATCCCGGTGGTCCGTACGGATGATAACAGGATGTGTTCATCTGAACCTGGATGTCAGGTTGGGGACCTTTCTGATGTATTACATCTTGCCTTGTTCCAGATCACGAAGCAATCCTTGTCCTGTGTGCTTTGATCCCAAAAAATTCCCACTTCAATGACTGCCGTACTCCTTGTGTTGAACGACCTCATTTGCTTCTGCAGACTGGAAAGGGGCAAGTGGCAATATTGGAGAAACGGTTGCGGCTGATTGGAAAAGCATATCAGATGTGTAGACGCTTAGAGGACCACTGTAAGAACATCATGGGAGGGATACACGGGACCAAAGCCACCTCAATGCTCTGCTTAGTCCTCGTATCATTGTTACAAGTTTCTCAAGTAAACCAAGTCGAAGTAGTTTTTGAAGGCAATTGTATGTAACTTACGGGCATATACTCTGCACTATAGCATCGCAGTATTCACAAGTGCTATATCTGTAACCACAATAGAGCGTACCCACTCATTATATGCACTGTGCACGACACTCAGTAGCATCGCAATATTCACATATGATGCTATACCTGTAACCATGCATTGAATAGAACGTACCCGCTCATTATATGCACGGTGCACGGCACACATGCCGAATTACGCAAAGGCAAGTGCCGATGGCTGAGGAATCCCCGAAGATTTTGGCTAAGGCAGAAAAGGCTTTTCAAGTTATCCGAGAAACTTTTAATGAAAGGAATGTTGGTGTGGGGCGTGGCTCAGTATAGATTTATGGGCACTCTACGAAGTTCGAAAACTCTAGTTCATGTGACTCTGTCGAATGCACTCAGCCTGCAGTCCATGATTATATCTAACTAAATCAAACATGGCATCACTGACTACTACGTTATTTGCAGCACTAATTAATCTCAGATTCTTTGCAAAATCTTTATTTTACTATTATCGCAAGTCTTGGGTCTTCGATTTCGTATCAGAGAGAATTCGAAAGTAGTAGGTCACAATAGCCTTCCACGTCGTTACACGCACGAGCTAAGGTTAACGACACCCTAAATAAAATATATTATGAGCCGGACCCTGTGTAGAGAAATCCCTGAAAATCACCATAAAAAATCCCGTTTCTTTGTGCATTGCTTGAACCTTGCATGACTGAAATAGGGCGCTACAGCTGTAACCCTTTCCCCTTAAGTCATTGTTCCTCCAATGTTCTCGAACAGCGGGCCGTTCACTCTATTTCATCAAGTCCTTTGCTCCATTTCTGCTAGGTGCTGTAAGAGCCCTAAATTCTCGTCTGCCTGATCTCCTAAGTTTAGGCCAATTATCTAGGAATTGCGGCAGAGCGGAAGGCTTGAATTGTCTCGAATCCGTGAGGGCCGCTGGAACGACGACTTAAAGCGTCTACATCATGATGCTGTCTACCGAGTATGTACTCAATCTCAAAGTTGTATTCTTGAAGTTTCGGAGATCACCTCATCACCCGGGTCATAGTATGGGGCGACTTGGCCGGAGGTATATTCAGCGACCGCTGCGCGGTATTTCGGGGTAAATCGACCAAAAATCGACCGCGGTTTCGATCGCGGTTTCGACCGGACTGCGCAAGGTTTCAACAACCTAAAACTGCCCTAGGTACCACTGACTCGGGGATCGATCCCATGTCCGACAGGGCCCGTGAAAGTCAAGCGGTAATGTCTCAGTAGCTACTCAAGCCAAATTAGGGTAATTGGTGACATGGTACTACACCAGACTGGCGTCAGAATCATATTGATTCACCACGCCTCCGCCGATGATGGAGCCGTTGCAATGCTGAATCGATCGGTGCGCTGATTGACGGTGTGTGCAAGCTTATGAACAGACACGTGTAGGAATTCGAATGATACCGTATGGTCTCAAGGTGAAAGGCCCAGTAAGTTTACTGCATTGTTGAACACAGGGTCCGGGCCTGCCCCCTACTAGCTGCGATTTGGCAAGGCCCTTTCTTCCAGGAAGAAGGGGCAGGAAGTCAGGCTCCAAGGTGAAACTTGAAGATGCTGCAACCATGGCGCTTTTACACCAACATATTATAGCAAGAGACATGGCTTGCACAAACTATTGCAAAGACTTCCTACAAGCTTTAGCTGGATCCAACTTGGGGAACTGCTTGCCAAGCCAAAGGACAACCTATGTGCAAAAGGAGAGCCTCGCGCAAGGTTCGTTCATCAAGTTTTTAGCATATAACATGTAATGTTTTTACAATTGAATTACCCAAGTTTTGCAGCTTAAACCCAGGTATCTATTGAAATACTTTTAAGTCTTTACTTGGGTACGAATTTTCTAGGTTTGAACATCCAACCGATGAAATATTCACATCTACCAATAAACGACCGAGAACTGCCGGCGAACAGTCTTAAAACAGGAACAACACCTAGGTCGTATCGGGCAACTTTCGGCCCGTACCTCGCTAACGAAGTTGCTCCATAAAAAACCCGTGCATGCAACCTTGTATTTATTTCTAGAGGTGACTAACCACTTTAGACTGGCGTGTTCTGTCACCAAGGGGAATCTTCTTTCAAACAAATAGGTTCCAAAATGCTTGACGCCTCAAACCACTGCCAAATATTCCCCCCCTGCAGTGTAGAAAATGCATCGATTTGCCATGCCATGATGGTCAAATATTTGATGGCATACGCTATTGATCGTACGTGCTCACGAGTATCCGTCTCTGGCGTGAGTCTGTGCCAACATTTCCCTCCTGCGATTTGTAGGTAGCGCTGGTCCGTTACTACAATAAACCTATAAACAACTTTGAAAAGTCTGGCTCGGTGGAAAGATCCGATGATCCAATGATCCAATGATCAGTCCGCCACTTAACATTTCGAAGGCCCGTTGCTTCTCGAATTACCCCCAACTACAGACGGAGTTTTTCCTCAAAAATCCCGCAGTGGTCCTGCTTTGAGAGTGATTCTACGTACTATCTGGAGTAATGACCATTGAGCCCGGAAAGCCCCTGTATTCTGACACGTTTTTTAGAAACGAAAAAACAAAGCACATGTCACGTACGGGGATTTCACTAGCCTGAACTCTGCGTAGTCTGCGTACCGTCAGCGCGGTACCAATGTGGTATTCGTCCAAAATTTATCGTACGGAACTCCGAAGTCACGGAGTTGTTCCGCGATGACTCCAGGGTGGTACCGGGGAGCCAGTACGGTCGCACTGTACTGGCACCATGCTGGCTGCGCTTTAAATTTTAGGGTTCCGAGCAGGGAGCTCAGAGTTTGCAAGCGACCATGGTTTCTAAGCACTAAAATCGTTATCAAAGATCCAAACAATGGCTGCCGTAATAGCGGCACGTCCATCCATGCCGGTCTTCAAAAATTTGCAACTTACCTCTAATGATATTCTTGAATCGCGTGATGCTTCTATTTGAGCTTGGGAAAATCGTTTCGGTTGCTTCCTGGACAGCTCAAATGCGGAGGCCCCTGAGGAGGAATGCCTCCGTTCCCCATTCTATGCTAAGAGTTGCATGGAGCTGTGACGATTCGAGTCTATGAATCTTCATATCGAACTCGTCC